CGGAGTGCAATGGGACCACTAATGGATCAGTTATTTTAGATAATTCATAGAAGTCACGCAGACAACAATCTCCATCTTTAAACCAGTTCTACAAAGAGGGAAAATTGGGTGCTTTGCAAATTGTGGCATTATAAAAAGTACACATTGGGAAGGAGGTAACTGGCTTTGGACACTCCTAAGAGAACGCTTTTCATCTAAAGCTGGGTTATTATTACTCTCACAAATTGAGGGCCATCCCCAGAGCCGTGGAGCCGTGGGAGCCTCACCCAGCCCAAGGCCGACCTCAGCTAACGGTCTGACCAGAAAGGGCCTCACTGCCCAAGTCAGGCGATCCGAACGGTGGGCTCACGGGTTCAAACACGTCGAAGAACGAAGGTATATATGAGTTTGTCTTTGTAATTTACCTGATGTATATTCTTGTTTGCTATGAATCCATCCCTTTAAGGATTTTTTTTCTGTATTTTTAATCCCCCTCCCCCCAAAAAACAGTAGGTACCCAGAAAGCAGGTCTTGTCGCTTGAGAGCACGTGTTTTGGAGTCACCTGCTGGTTCCTGACAGGCCTGCGCGGCTTTATGCTGGGGTGTTTCAGAGAGCCGCCTTTCACATCAGCACAGGAGGGCGCCCTGACCAGACCCCAGGGCTCAGCTTCCCCGGGCGCCGCCAAACGCTTGCACCTGCTGGCGGCTTTGTTCTCCGTGGTTCGATGCTGGTGGCCTCCCGGGGTCAACGGGGCCCTCGGCTGAAGGAGGAGAGCAGATCAGCTGGGATGGAGCCCCTCAGGAACACGCACGGCTTTCTGGACGCTGGACCGTGCGCACGAGAACGCGTGGCCCCCGCTGCACGCGGGGAACATGGCAATGGGAAGTGTCTGGAGGCTTGTCTCGTCTTCACGTCACAGACCGTCCCTTGATCCACGCACCCCCCACCGCCAGCATCCTTCTCCCGTCAGAATGGCATCTCACACCACGTCATTTACTGACAAGCTGCGACTTTTCAATAACCTCTCGACAGTATCAGCCGACTCTAGCTTTTTTAGGACGAGAGCATTACTGACGACACATGCCCCTCTCCTTTCCTGGTTCGCGTTTTCCCACCTACGTTCAAAAACTATTATGAAATACAACTTCCAGCAAGAACTCGTTCCCGTCACCCCTCCTGACGTACGCGCCGCTGGTTCCCAGCGCGTCACTGTGAGCGAACCCCCACAGATGAGGCATTTCGGTTGCTTTACAGTCGATGTGCCCATGTTTACGCCTGTCTTCGCTCGCCGTTCTGTTTTGCATCAAGGACGTTCCTTCAAGTTTGTGCTACCTCTTCAAGTACTTAATTTTAGGGGTAATTTTAGTGAGGATAAAGTTGGTAAAAACACTCAATATTTTGGGTGTGTCTATGTAAAAAAATCCTGGAAAAATGCGTAATTTTGGAATACAGTTTTACTGTGTATTCAGTACAAGTGAGGCAGGTGTGTTTTTTAACAGCTTGACGGTGTTTCAGTTTTCTGCTTTTGGAAGGTCAGCTGTCAGCCTGTGGTTTCACTGCAGGTGGTATGTCTGTCCTTTGCTTTTTTGTCTCTTTTTGAAAATAGTTCCCTCGGTATGTCATCAAGTTCACCCATTTTGACGCTCACTCAACGAGTCTGCGTACAGACAGTTGTACAGACGTCACCACAGTCTAATTCTAGAACGTTTCCATCACCCTAAAAAGAAAACCCATGCCTAATTACGGGGGCTCCCGACCCCGCACCCCGCACCCCGGGGAGCCCTGAACCTCGCCTGCCTCTCTCCTTTCGGAGATTCCGCAGAAATGGACTCACACCCCGTCCACTGCTCTGTTGCCCGCTGCTCCGAGTTTATGATCCTGCTGAAGTTCAGCCACGTCATACTTCCCACACCTCGTCCTTTTATGCTTTTATTCCCAAAGTTCTCCCACTGCACGTTTTCGCCACATTTCATTCATCCCTTTAACCGGTGAGTGGCCGTTTGGGCTGTCTCCCGTTTTGTTTATTATGAGTAATGCTGCTATGAACTTTTGTGCACTGGCTTTTATGTGGCCGGGTACTTTCATTTCTCTCGACCGTGTACCTAAAAGTCAGATTTCTGGGTCAGAGGGCGAGTCACATTTTTTAAAAACCGCCAAACTGTTCTTCCCGGTGACGGCACCATTTTACATTCGCAGGAGCGACGTCCCAGGGTCTCCATTTCTCCACGTCTTTTCCAGCACAGGGCGTTTTCTCTTTTTTTTATTACAGCCATTAGAGTGTGTGACAAATGGCATCTCATTATGGTTTGATTTGCATTTCCCTAATGACTAACGATGTTGAGATTTTTTTCATGTGCTGATTGGCCACTTGTATATATTCTTTAGAGAAATGTCTATTCAGCTCCTTCGCCCATTTTAAATTGAGTTATTTGTCTTTTTATCTTGAGTTACAAGTTTTAAAAAAATTCTGAATACAAGTCCACTATCAGATATATGATTTGAAACATTTTCTTCTGGTGTTGGTGCTATTTTTTCACCTTTTTTGATGGTGTCCTTTGAAGCACAAGGTTTTCAGTTTTCAGACCAATTTGTCCATTTAAAATTTCATTGCTTGTGCTCTTGGTGTCACACCCAAGAAATCATTGCCTAAACCAAAGTCAGGAAGACTTGCTCATGTGCTTTATTCTAAGAGCTTTATATTTATATTTTTGAATCTTCCAGTTAGGTCTGTGATCCATTTGAGTTAATTTCTGTGCGTGGTATGAGGTAGGGGTTCGTACACATTTTGTATTTAGATGCCCAACTGTCAAAGCATCATCGCACGCTGAGCTTTCTGGTTTTTATGACAATGAAGCACCCACATACACATATTTACTTGGAGAGTAAATACAAGTTTCAATCTGCAAACATAGGTAGAAGAAATACTTCTTTTTTAAAAAATGTTGATATATTAAAGTCAGTTTAATTTCCCTGGAGAAGCCCTTGAGGAACCAGTCATACGTCAGTGCAGGGTAACTTACCACGCTCACCGCCGAGCCCATGTGGCTGGTCTCAGCACGCTGCTTCTGCCCTTCCCAGGATGGGGCAGACCTGCCAGGTGAGCCACTAGCATCTGACCTTCACCTCCTGTGCACCAGCTGGAGAGGCAGCTCCAGACCAGGGCAGGCCCAGTGGTTCTGGGACCAGACCAACAGCCCTGGCTCGGGCTTCTGGAATCCACCGTCTCAGAGGCAGCAGTTCTTCTGTTGGCCCAGGTCTGGGGTGTGAGTGGGAGCTGGTCCTGAAAACCCATCCAAGGATGCCTCTTCAGGTCCCGTCCCAAATCCTCTCAGCCGCCTGTCTGGTGGAACACAGCAGAGCCCGCGTGCCTGGGCGCTCTGTGAGAGAACCGATGCACATGCCAAGCACACCTGGCAGGACTGTGACGCCCAGCGGCCAGGTGAGGGATCCTGGGAGCATCGTGTAACTGTCCGCACCTAACCCTCGTGTGCCCCCCTGGGCGCAGCCGGGCATCCGTGCAAACAGCACAAGCTCCACCATGTCACCTGCGTGCTCTTTGCCTCAGTGAAGCTCTCAGGCCCCTGTCTGGGTCTCTTCCTACTGAGGGGCAATTTATTTAATTTTTCAATTGTTTAAGCTTCAGGAAAATGACACTCAGATGAGAAAGGACTTAATGCCACAGGTTAAGTCCCAAAATATAAATGTGTGCTCCGAGTGGAAGGCAGTCTGTGCATCCTTCACGGGGTTGAAGGGAGGTGGGTAAAGGGTGGAGTCCAAGCGTCTCCCACACCAGTTTATCGTCGATCTGGGCAGACTGAGCCCCGCGGAGGGAGTGAGCAGGGCCCCGCACGGAACGCGGCCGACACTTAGCACCTAACACGCCGCGCGAGGGAGCAGCCACCTCCGCAGGCTGAATGCACGGTTCTCTGTTGCTTTCTGGTTTTAAACATCTTTTGTCCCCAGATCATGTAACTGTGCACCCACACTTGCTTGGGGAGAGGTACGTGTGTGTCCGGGAGGAGGTGCATTTACCGTGCCGATTTACTCGGAGTTACTTTTCTTTATAGTATAGTAAAGGATCTATCCTTGCTCCCTGTTAGAACTGGTTTTAAATATTCTTCCTATTGGGGGTGTGTTTGTGTCAGAAAAAGTCCCACCATAACAAATGAGGCGAACACCCTTCGGCTGTGTCATTGTCACGGTTGTGTTATTGTGAAGTCGATAAAAATGAACAGTTTTCAGTCCGTACTAACACACAGTGAGCAAAAGTGAAGAACAGTGAAATTTAAATGCAAACTAAGAAAGCCCTTTAGGTCACAAACTCATTATTTCTTATCATAAATATCCGGGACCACCTCCCATCAAGAGCAGACCAGAGTGATTCCCCCACCACCTGAAATCTGAGGCTGGCCGGGGCCAGGCGTCCGTGCCCAGCTTTGCTGTCCTGGGTTTCGCAGTATTTCGGGGGGAGGGGAGTGTCTTGCACATTTACTGTGCTACAGTCACACAGACTAAGGCACATTTGGAGATTTGGGGCTCTTTTAAAATAGCCTGTTAACCATTTTACCAACAGTATACTTTAACAATTATTGAGCCTTTATATTTTAATATCTGCAAATGTCACTTGTGTTGCTCACATGTTGGAACATATTCTTACGTAATCTCACACGAGGTGCATCTCGTCCTCCAGGAAGGGAGACGCTGAGGGCAGAGGCAAGGTTTCCAGCTGCCTGGAAGGTTAAAGAGGATAGTCGTGTGCGCTTCATTTTGGTGCAAACCTTGGATCTCTGCCCTGGGAGAGGAAATGGGAGAACAGCGTCCCTGGTTACTTTTACGTTGGAAAACCTGCTTTCTTCAGCCAGCAGAGCGCAATTTGGCATCTTTTTTAAACATAGACTTTTTCAGTTTTGCAGTGAATGGAAATTCCACCCACACCCTACAAAGGGACTGGCTTCTGATTTCTGATGCTGATGCAGAATTGCCACCCACTTTCTTTGTTTTCACAGGTAGTTTGGTGAGAAGTTAGTCTGACCACAGTGAAGACAGTCAGAAGGCACTTTAAACTGGAAAGTGTTTCACTTCTGGCACCAAAGCATACACTGGACATCCATGAATAAATGATTCACTTTCGAATGAGTCACACACAATGAAGATGATTTTTTTTTTAAAGCGAGCTGCATTCACAGCACTAGGAGAACATTTACAGCGTTTGCAGCGCACAGGACCACAGCATCGTCTAAAGCACTTCCCCCCAGTTTCTTATGTTCTTTCCTGAGCTCAAGGATGTTCTTATTCATTTTGTTGAAAACTCAGGGAAGAAAATCACCATTGATACTGAAATGAGATTTATAATAAAACAGAGCAGGTATGAGTTTTGACACGTTCAATTGCAGACACATTTCTCTTTCCCTGTGTCTGAACTTTAATCAGGGCCCTTTGTTGCGCAGTGAAAGATGGGTGAAGCCCACTATTTTGTAAGCATGTGCACATCCAGAGCCTTCATAATATTAGTTAAAATCAATGTGCTGCTTTTTTAATTATTGCTCATGGTACAAAGCCGGGAAGGCTCATTTAGGAGCGGGTCGATATTGGAAAGGGATTGGTAGATGACAGAGCAGTACATCAGGCTGCTTGATGTAAAAATCATTGGGCCTGCGCTGCGCTGGTCCAGGCCTATCAGTCTGGTTAGCCTCCAGCTGGCTGGGGGGCGAGGTAATAGGTGAGCCTCCCGCGAACCAGCACTCCCGCCGGCGCGGCAGAGGGGCGGCTGCTGGACGCCGGGCACCGCGCACGTCTGGAGCAGACAGACGGTAGAGGGGACGCACCTCCGCCTGGCGTGTATTGATCACGTGCAGCAAAGTTTGGGCTGCAGTGTGAGGGGCCTCTCCTTTGTGCTTTTATGCTGTAGCTCCTGGATTCTGATGAGCAGACAGATGAGGATCTGTTCTGAGTGCGACATACGGATGCAAATATGCGCCTAGTTCTCCAGGAGAGGTGCAGGGATAAGGAGAAAAGGGGGTGGGGGAGAAAGTTCCCTCAGGCAGGGCCGGCGTGGCCAGACCACCGGGGACCTCCCAGAACGTCTGAGTCTTGCTTTTCTCCCCCACGTTCGTGCGGGCAGCGCGCTGAAGGCCACAGCGCACCCCGTGGCCTCGCAAGCGGTCACAGCTGCAGCGCTGCAGGGGTGCCTACCTCCGCCCTGTTAGCAACCACGCCTCCTCGGATGGAGACCAGATGGGGGCCCTGCACGCGCTGAATTGTTTCAGACAAGCGGGCTGCGCCACATTTTTACCTGTTTTGATTATGATAGTCTTAAACCAGTGACATCTGCTTTAGGGCATAATGTTACCAAGCTGGTAGCCTGTGCCTTGGGGGACGGTGTGTTGTTGAGGACAGGAGGGGAGGGGGGCGCTGCGGCGGCCCCAGGCCCACAGGGGTCAGTGGATGATGACGGCGCTGCGTTCAGAATGACAGCAGCTCTCCTTTCCGGCCCAGCCCCTGGGGGGGCGGCAGAGCGGGCGGTGCCTGCATCCGTGCGCGGGGGATGCTCACCTGCGGGGGGCCCGCCCTCGGCCCCGGTCCTCGCAGGCTGCGCTCACCATCGAGCGGATTGATTTCCGGTCACCACTGACCCAGGCTTGATTGGCAAACCTCCTGGTTTTTTTACATTTTAATGATCGCGTGCTCTTTATTTTAATTTATTTTTCTTTGACTAATCATTTGGCTGATCAAAGAGCTGATGTTGACTCCTGGTCGACATCAAAAGTAATTTAAAAAAAAATTGAGACAATAAGGTCAAGTATTTGAGCAAAATAGAAAAATCATAAACTCCTGAAAGAAGATTTTAGAATATACACACACACATAGAACATTTGGAGTGTCTAAGGAAAACATCAAAGTGGAATATTTCACAATTTTCTATTAATTAAGCAGTGAAATGCAGCAAACACTTACGTCATCCTTGGTAAGACAGGTAAATGAAGATCAGCAAACAGCACACAGGAATAAAATGCAGCACTGTTCCTACTCCAAGGACAAAAGAACTTTGCTTAATATGTAAGGTAAACTGTGGAAGTTAAATGTATGTATTAATTAAGATCTGATTAACCAGTCAAAAACAAGATTCTTTGTTGTTCAGAATACTCATCACAAGATGCATTTAAATGTTGGTCTCTTCAAATGCATGTGGCTAATGCACATGAAATGCGGGTTCTTCCTCTATCTCTGTCTCTCTTTCTCTTTGTCCCAACCACCCGAATTTAATTTCTCATTCTCTCTCCCTCCCTCCCCCCTTCCTCCCTCCCCTCCCTCCCTCCCCCTCCCTCTCTCTCCTTCCCTCCCTCTCTCCCTCCCTCTCTCTCTCTAGCTTAGATGACTTGTTGTCTCTTTTCTTGCTTGTAGGCAACTTATCTCTTCCTTCCAGTTCACCTGAAAACTTACTTCAGGAAATGAGTGACTATCTGAATGGTTGGACCCAATGCCCACACAGCGATAAAAGGCTGACTTACCTTTTTACTAGAAATACTTTCACAGACACCAGGTGTTACTTTAGGATCTGTTCCAAGCAAAGGTAGACTATGAAAGTTATTAAGTCTTCATTAAAATTTAATGGAAAGCACTTCTGTTTAGCTGAGTTTACATGGTGGAAAACAAAAAGAAAAGAATAGATGGTTGACACCATCACCTTTAGAATAAGTTTGGGAATAAAACACAAGAGACCATGAAAGAGGCATAACTTTGCCAATCAAATGGAATCATTAAATCAACAAATTTAAAACTATTGAAGGTCATTTATACATGACGTCCTTGGAAAAGTGTTGACCTGTCATCCAACATTGATCAAGAGCCAACCACCAATGACACATTGTGGCAGTGTGGTCATACGTGGGGCTGAGAGGCTAGTGAAATCTCTACCATGCAAAAGGTAATTCCCTGTGCACACATCCAACAATCTGCTGAACTACAGTAACATGAAAATGTTCTCAGTACACACCTCTAGACATGTTACACTGCTAAATAAAATAACTTTAATTGCAATGCTGATCTGAGAAAAAATAAAGCCATAAGAAAGAACTGAAAGTCAAACCGTTAGCATGAGAGATGGTGCTGGGACCCAGGATGGTGGGGGTGGTGGACGAGGAGATGGTGGAGGTGGAGGTGGAGTTGGTGACGATGGACGTGGTGAAGGTGGTGGCAATGATGTGGGTGGTGAAGGTGGAGGTGGTGATGAGGGTCCAGGCACTTCTTACAGAAGATGAAGTCTTCAGCTTGGTTAGATGGATAGTTGGAAATGGGACAATGACTTTTGCCAGAACCCTTGAAAGGTTACAACTTTGTTAAAAGTTTTGACCAGAAGAAAGTGTAGCAGTTGACTCAGAGAATCCAAAATACAGTTTTATGCCTGTTCCAGGCTGTAGGTGAACATCAAGGAAGCAGTTCTCCCAAGAATCTGAAACCATGGATCTGCATTTCCCATGGGTTAAGTATTTGCATTTATTCTACTCACCAAGTGGAGAAAAAATTATGACCATTGATGCTGGGCTAATAAAAACCTCGTATGATCAAATAAAAAAAACCCTTCTGAGGTACGTTTGCGCAGCTCAGACTACACATAATTGGGACAGAAAAAGCAGCCCCCTTCAAAGATGAAAACGTGGTCAAAAGTGAAAAACTCTGGAAACCAGCATAATGCAACGAGGTCCCAGAGGCACGCCCGGCACGCGCACTGCTGGTGCACAGACTTAACGGGGCTCCACACGCAGATCTTCTACTCTGCCACCTTGTCGAGAGGACTCGTCAGCTCCACGCTTTGTGGCTGGCTCCCCCGGACCCTCCACCCAGGTGGTCACACCCTGTTCAAGTTTTCATCTCAGTGTTTCCCTGGATGCTTTTATTTTATTTTATTTTTCTTGCCTAAAACCTCCAGTACGATGTTGAAAATAAGTGATGGGGTGGAATTCTCTTCTGAATCAAGGGATTTAAATGTCTCTTCCGTGTATTACTCTATTACTTAGACTGTTTTTACGGATTTTTTTGTTGTTGGTGGTGGTGGTGGCTGTGTTTCTGGATCTTGTTGTGTTATGTCAGTTTCTAGAGAGTTTTTCTCCCAGCCAGTGTCACCACACGGACACCCAAGGAGACCTGTCCAATCTGAGCCCAGAACTCACGTCGAAACGTTATGACAGACAGAATGGTGGTGAGAAATCCATGATAATAACAATTGCCCCACATACCAAAATTTCTGGGCCATAGGTAAACAGTAATTACTAAGAAAACTGGGGACTTAAGTACAAATATTACTAAAAGAAAGAAAATGAATTAGCTTAGTAGCCAAGCCAAAATGTTGAAATGGTAACAGAGTGAAACCAAAAGGAGCAAAGAAATGATTAACTTAAGAACAGAAAATGGTTCAGTGGGGAAGGAAAATAAGATTGAGAGGATCAACCTCAGCAAAACATGGTCTTTAAGCAGCAAAGTGGGCAGGCCTGTTTAAGTGAGAAAAGACACACAAAAATGTACATGTTTGGGTTACAAAGGGGCACCTAACTAGAGTGGGAAGTGCTGAAAGTTGTAAGAGCATATTATAACTCTGTATCATTAATTAATTTATACATAAGGAAATATGTATTTTATATATATAAAGTTCCTTATATATAGTTACATGTATAAAATTTATATGTATGTTTATATGTAAAGTTTCAATATATATAAACTTTATAAAGAACTTTATGTATATTATATATATAAAAATCATACAACACATATGTAATATCAATTTCATATAATTTATTATTTTAGAAAAAATGGACATTAACAAAACTGACTCTGATTTTTGACTAAAAGAAACTGAATTCTGATCTTCTGTATATTTAATCTATGTTACACTGACATTCAAAAATTATGTTTAATGATTATTTAAATTATTTTTCGAAAAGAAAACCAGAGTTTCTCACAGGAATGATTCTCAGGGCAGGTCACAGTGGTAACACCTCAGGGGCGCGCGGGGTGTCCTGGAAGGACAGAAACCTCAGCCTTCGTGGGGGGATTGGCTTGTGGAAGGTGGGAGGGTGGAGACACGGGACCTGAGTCCAGAAAGGAGGAACGCGGAGGCACGTAAAAGCAGGGAGCTTTCGAGGGGTCTCAGGAAGTCTGCTCTAGGATGACTGCAGACTCGTGGGGCGTGCCGAGACAGCAGGTGCTGGAGATGACGCCATGTGCTTGGTCCTCCGTCCCCACTCCCGTAAGTCCTGCCATAAGAACAAGCATTGGCAGGGAGGGGATTCGGAGGCACCGGCGACTGTGTACAAAGGAAGCTGCAGGGATACATGGCACAGCCCTGGGGATACGGCCGCTGTTTTGTAATTGACATAACGGAGTGTACTCTTTACACGTTGTGAGCCGCTGTATCGTCCACCTGTGCCTTACGCAATACTGTCCATCAACCATAAAAAAAGAAGAAACATTAGACAGATTCCAACAAAGGGACATCGTAACAATGGCCAAGTAAATTCTCAAATTTGGTTTAAAAACATTGCTCCCTGGTGGACATCCAGTGTGCCAGCTGCCATCTGAAAATGAATTTTCCCAGCTTAGTTTAAGCACCTTGAAAATGCGAGTTTATAATGAAAGTGCTGACACCCCCTGAAGGAGAGCAGTGTTTGAATGCGTTGCTGTAATTTATAATGTCAGCCCATATTCCAGACGCTTTCTCTATGCACCGCGCTTTGCACAAATAGGGAAAGAAAGTACTGCAGTGAATTATTGTGCAATTAATCATTTGACCATGAGGGATTCATTTACTAATTAAAAACGCAGAAAGAGTAAATTGAAATAACCAGTGACTACTAAATCACGTCTTCTTGAGCATCAGCCGCCATGTAGTAAATCGCGGTGTATCAATCTGAGTCACACCCACCTGGACACCTGCGTGTCCGGGCTGCCATGGCGTGCCTGGTGTGCTCAGATGCTCCCATCCGCACATGGCAACTTACATCTAGACCGACACAGGTCTCCGTTTAGATATTGATGTCTGTGCATCGC